TTAATTATAGAATTCTGTTTAGTCAAGGGTCCAAATAAATCTCCAAGGAGTTTTTCCTTTTATTCCTGGATTTAAAAAAAAAAAAAAATCATGTGTCCAAGAAAAGCAAAAGAATCAAGTTAAAATCACTACTGACATTCAGGAATGGCAGGAAATGGGTAGTGTGCTGATCACTAAGAATTCCATCTGAATAGAAATGGAAGGAGATTCTGATACCAGTACTGGAACTCACACAGCCATTTGGGATGAGATCCTTAAACCCACATATATCCTGGTGACAGAATTTCATGATGGCAACAGAATTTTAGGATCTAAAGCTCCATTTTAATGTGAGAACAAAAAGAATTTCAAAACATTTAGAAGTGCCTACGATACTTTTTAAGGCACCCTGATGGACCTCTGGTGGCATAGTGCCTAAGACATTTTACTGCTAACCAGAAGGTTGGCGGTTCAAACCCACCACCCCTCTGCAGAAGGAAGATTGGGCAATCTATTTCTGTACAGATTTACCACCTCAGAAACCCAAAGGGAGTCGAAATCAACTCGATGGCAGTGAATTTGGTAGGTTTTTGGTTTTTATTTTTGCTTTTGTTTTATTGTGCAATGAATACACACTCGGCTACTAACCCAAAGGTTGGCAATTTAAACCCACCCAGTGGCTCTATTGGAGAAAGACCTGGCAATCTGCGTCTGTAAAGATTACAGCCTAGAAAACCCTGTGGGGAAGTTCTACTCAGTCACGTGGGGTCCCTATGAGTCAAAAATTGTCTTGACAGCACACAATAATAACAAAACACTATGACAGTAAACACAAAGTAAGCACTGAGTAAATATTAATTACTTTTGTCATTGAATGGAATTTTCAACCACTTACTGGATTTTTCCATTTGACTTTACTTCAAAATCAACATATCCTAAAAAGCATTGCTCATCTTCCCTTTAGGGCAACTCCTCCTCCCAAATTCCTTGGGAATAAAACCCAATCAAGTGTTGCAATATTTTTGATTCCTCTTGTTCCCTCCATTCCAACTTGTCACTAAAGCCTCTTGATTCTTCTTTCAAAACTAGTTACATCCTGAGGTTATTAATGCTTACCAGGAGTGGGAGGGAGGGAGGAAAAGAGGGGACTCACTGCTTAGGAGTCACTGAGCTTCTATTAAAGGTGAAGAGAAGTTGGAAATGGATAATAACGATGGTTGCACAACACGGTGAGCATAAAATCACTAAATTTTACACGTGAAGAATGTTGAAATGGCAAATACTTTGTTACCTACATATTTACCACACTAAAAAAATAAAATAAAAACCAGACACACTTGTCACTTCTTTCCCATTCTAGCTGCAACATATATCTATGGGACCCTGGTTACTTCAAACCTCAGTAATGTGACAGCCTGTTGGTCAGTGCCCTCAGCCCCAGGAAGGCTGTATTCTAATTTGTCAAAACATCAGTGTCAACTGGATCTTCTTAAAATTCTGATGCCCTCATTTTGCTCTCCATCTCAAACTCTTAGCCCTCCACTATCTGTTCCTAAATTGCCTTCCAAACTTCACTTTCACCACTCCTCTAGGTGGGCTACTCACTGGAGTACTGTCAGTGTTGCACTTCAGTCACAAGCAGCAGAGGCCCACTCAAGGTTACCTCAGTTGATCGGAGCATGGAATGAGCAGTTGTGTGTATGGAATACATATGATCATTTGTATGGGAAACTATGGAAGATAGAAATTCAACTCAGCAACCATGTTGGATTGCCTCACAGATAGTGTTGTAAGAGAAAATAAAATATTGGAGACATACCAAAACCAAACCAAACTCACTGCTGTCAAGTCAGATCCAACTCATAGCGACCCCTTTCTGGGTTTCCAAGATGGTATCACTACAGAAGTAGATTGCCCAACCTTCCTTCAGAGGAGTGGCTGGTGGGTTTGAACCGCCAGCCTTCTGGTTAGCAGCCTTAGGCACTACATTACCAGGGCTCCAAAAAATTGTTATTCTGAAATGCAAATTTAACTGGGTGTCCTATTTGTTGTTTGTGTTTTGTTTTTTCTGCTTGCTAAATCTGGCAATTCTACTTCATGTTATTGTTGTTGTTGTTATGTGCCGTTGAGTCAGACCTGACTCATAGTGACCCCTCCTCAGGTTTCTGAGGCAGTGTCACTATGGAAGTAGATTGTCCAACCTTCCTTCTAAGGAGTGGCTGGTGGGTTTGAACCCCCAGCCTTCTGGATAGCAGTGAAGTGCACTAAGCACTACGCTACTAGAGCTCCCCTATACTACCAGAGCTCCCATGCTGCTTCATAGACAACCAGAATATAAAGGGTATACAGTTTATAGTGGTAGCTTTAGTGTCCTAGCAAAAGAAAACAAAACATCATGCCCAAGGCCTCCAGAAACCAGACCACTAATACGAATGTGTAAAGCAGACCCTGTGCAGGATGATACATAGTCACTGACTTTGGTCTCAAGTGTAGAGGGAAATACCACAGGGAGCTGTGGAAATGGTTGTAAATTGGTGTGCACTGCACACATGTCATCTAAAGTATACAGCTTCTCCTTACCTTCACCTATTGTTACCAAGAGGGATATGGAGGAAATATTAAAAAAATTCACAAATATTTGAGAGATTTTTATTTGAAAATTCTTGATATTTAAATTTTTGACAACTAATTTAATATGGATCTGTAATAGTTGGAGCTGTGTGTCAACTTGGCTGGACCCCAGTTCTGTGTGGTTGTTCCCATGATGGGATCAGATGACTGTGTTCTGAGTGGCCAGTCTGTTCAAGGGGAGTTTCCCTAGGGGTGTGGCCTGCTTCCAGGATGTCCAGGGACATCCTGGGAAGAGAGACATTCTTCTGTGGATCAGGATTCTGTTGTGCTGCCTACAACTGTCCATGAGTGAGCAGTCCACTGTTCGGCCTGGAGATCTTGGATT